AAGTACAAGAAAGAAAAAGAAAAGGGAAACAACTTGTCTAACGCTTACTCCACTGTTATCTTTATCGAAGAAATTAAACGCAACGTCATATGCTAAAAATAATAATAATCCCACAGAATGAGAACAACAGAAAAATAATAGAATAAAAAAGAGGCCCTTTATCAAGGACGATATTGTAAAGTCCTGAGTGTTCTTGCTGCTGTAGGTGTCTGCTCTCTCCAGGTCTCTGTGGTCTCGGTTAAGCACGTTCAGCACGGGCGTGCTGTGGTCCCAGTCACCCTCTCTGGATGGAAAACTTGACAAGATCATTCTAAAATTTATTTGAAAATAAGTGAAAGGAGTGTCAGATATTCATATGGAAGGTTAAAGGACTTGTCCTATTAGACATTAAGATGAACAGTGGACAAATGTCAGGGAATCACATGAAACTTGAGCCGAGTCGTCATCTGGAGAGAGATTGACAGTTCTGCGTCAGAGTTCAGAGCCACCTCGCCAGCAGCACTGCAGAAAATAGCGCCCAAGACTTTGCCAGGCCCGTGGTGAGTGCCCTACATCTGTCACCGTGCAGTCCACCTTATCGCCTCCCATTCTGCACACGAGGGACAGACTCTGGAAAGACGGCCTGCCCCAAGGCCCCACAGCGTCCTCCGGTGGAGAGGACACGTCTGTGTCCTTCGTGGATTTTACCGTGTGCTTCATGGATTTTACTTGTGATGACTGACATGGATGGGAAGGGGCAGAGTTGGCCCTCGTAGCTGACCGGTGTGGCCGCAGGGCTGCAGGTGGGAGGGCCATGGCATGGCCAGCCTTCCCGGGGCTTAGTGGTCCCAGGGAACAGGAGACCGTGAAGGAGGAGGCTTCCGTTGCCCAGGAAGGCCACCTGGAGGGTGGTGGGCAGCTTGCCCCTGTCAGGCCACATGCTCCTGCAGCAGAGTGACCTTGGGAAGGCTCAGTGCATGTCAGGCAGCTGTGTCCACTCACTCAGTGCTCCCTGACCGTGTCTGTGCCTCGCCTGGGTGCTGGGTCATGGAAACTCACGGGGGATCCTAGACAGCACCCGGCCTCCATCCTTGTCCAGTTTGGCATTTCAACCAGACTCTTAACTGTCCCCATCCAGCCGTGGTAGAGCGTCCCTGGGCTCAAGCCCTAGTACTGGGGACAAAGAAAGACATGCACAGAGAGCTGTCCCCAGTGCTGGTGGCTGAATCCGTGGTGCAGCTGGGCTGGCCGAGCGGCCACAGCGGGTCTTGAGCCGTCTCCGCTCGCCGTGGTGCCTTCAGCTGGCCACGTGACTCACCTCCCTGGGTCCTTTGTCAACCGTGACCGTCATGGAAACCCACTGAAGGATCTCGTTTCCCTTCGCTCCGAGGAGACGCTGCCCTCGGTGTTGGCTTGCCCGGGACCTATAAGGTTACCTCCGTCACCACGGCTGGAGGTGAAAGATCTCCCCTGTCCTGGCAGGTCTGCCGTCCCAAGTCACCCCCAGGCAGGGGCTTCCTGAGCACTTTAAAGTCTTAGTTAAATTGCTCCCAACCAGGGCTGCCCAGGTCCTCGCACATTGCCTTCTTCTTGATGGTCACCAAGGACCAGTCAAGCGACGCTGGCGATGGGTGTCAGGACTTGGAATGTGTGGCCTGGACGTCCAGGCAGGGTCGTAACAGATGGTGAGGCCAGACTGAGGACCACGAAGACGGGGGATTGGCCAAACCACGCTTTCTCTTCTCTTCCCGGAACAAGGACTGGAGAGGCCACCCTCCTCCCCCTGCCCACCCTCGCGCCCTGCCCACGCTCCTCCCCCTGCACCAGGCTGCCCGGGCCTCCTGAGTAGGTGGGGAAGCCGCCCACGAGCTGGGTGTCCGCCTCCTGTGCCTCTGGAGCTGTCTGAGCCTGGTACCTTCCACGTTTGGCTCCCTGTTTCAGCTTTAAATAGTTAACGACCCTTCCAAGGTGGACAGAGGTTTGGCAGCCTCCGAGGAGTATCTGCCTCAGAACTTTTTGTCTGTCTGATGAGCTAGATGGTGTCTAGACGGCACCTCTAAGGCCCGGAGAGGGCCCAGGGGTCCCAGGCGCAAAGCAGTGGGCAGTCCCTTTCAATTTATTAGATTCCTCTTCAGTTTTTTTAACACCCCGACGATGCACTTTTTCTTGTCTCTCAGACATTCAGGCAGATGAGGCCTGAGCTTTGGGTTCCAGCCTCGTTTTGAGTCCCCTTCTCAGCCGCCGCCTTCTTCAGAAGGAATCGGACCTCTCTCCACTTCCACCTCGTCAGCACCCTCCTCACCTGCTGGATCAGCCACTCCTTGTCTTTCACAGACTAGAAAACCCGCCGTCTCTGGCTTGAAAGGTAGAGGGCCATCGGTCCTGGGATCGATCGATCGATCGATCGTCTGGCTTCTCTTTGATTCTGTGATCTGTTTCTAGGGATTATAGGTGGCTTTGAATTCCAAGGCTGAGGCTCTGTCAGCTTTTGAAGAACTTTGAAACGCATCTCCTGCCTCCTGGCTTGGGAAGGCAGGCCTCCGGGTGGAGGGAAGTTCATTGGTTCTCATTTTGTAAACCGAGGGAAACGCGAGTAACGGCCACTCTTGCCGCTGTGGGGCCTGCTGGGGGTTCTTGTCTGATTCAGTGGTTCTTATAGGAAGTTTCACTAGTTTGCTGGGTGGACATCCTCAGCACATCACTTGGAGCCCTGAGCATGGATCGCCCGACCTCTGCTCCCCCACCGCCCGATTATTCCCAGGGGTGACCTGGGATAACTAGCGGAAATTCCCACTCAGATCCAACAGGTAGGGGGAAGGGAGCAGGAGAGCAAGGCCACACGGGCCCCCGGTTCCACCCACGTTGCTGAGCACTACACATTTTCAATACCTAGTAAACCCGGCTTAGGCAAAGAGGGGCCTGGGGCTGTGTGTGCATGTGCTAAATGTGGTTTTGTGCTTAAAAGCCCACATACCACCCCAAACCGGGGATGGAACCCAGGGACCCCCTACCACTGAGCTACCTTTCTTACTTTTGATTTTGAGACAGGATCTCACTAAGTTGCCCAGACAGACCTTGAATTTGCAATTCTCCTGCCTCAGCTTCCTGAGTAGCTGGGATCACAGGGGTGCACCAGCACACACCTGGCCGGAAAAGACCTTTAAAACACAAATCCCTCTCTGCCAGTTCATTGCTGCAATCTTACAGGATGCGGTGATTCTAGGAAACATGTTGCAACCTTTAAAGATACAGATAAAGGTAGATCTGTTATTCCTAGAGAAAACATTCTTTCAGACACGCTTAGATACGCCCAAGCTCCTGGGGCTGGGGGGGGGACACTTGTTACCCATGGCCCAGAATTTCAGTCATCTTGGGGTTCTTGAAGTATGAAAAAATAAAAAGATGAAGCCCGGCAGAGTGGCCACCCGGTCCGTCATCCCTGGAGCTGGGTGCGGTAGCCACACTTGTGATCCCAGTGACTCCAGAGGCCCAGGCACAAGGATCCCAGGTTCGAGGCCGATCTGAGCAGTTTAGCAAGACCCTGTTTCAAAATTAAAAATAAATAAATAAAAAAGATCTCGGGACATAGCTCAGTGGTAAAGCAACCCCTGGATGAAATCCTCAGTACCCTCAAAAATAAATAGAATAAAATGATGGGGAAAATGACAGAGTTCATCAAACTTCAATATAATGCAACCGAGTTTTTAGTCTCCCCCGCATCTGCTGTAGGTGATCTTTAAGCATTTCCCTTTTACCCAGGAGGGATCCGATATCAACTCGCTAACGTGCCCCTGAGGCAGAACTGAGTCCATGCTTTAGTACTTTTGCATTGTGTGTATATTTACTGAAATGATCATGCTGTGAGAGAAAGGGAGAAAACACACCTCAGGAGAACCCACCTCGAACAACCTGGGAAAATCTGCAGAGCTTAAAAGTGAGTCTGCAGAGATTTTAAAAAAACAAACAAACTATTCATTTACAAGTGGCATGGATTTCCATCCTCAAAACCATTGTTTCTTCCCAACTACTGCTGTTAACTAAATTCCCTGCAGCTAGTAAAAACACAGGGAGCCTCCCGCTTCCCGCCAGTGTCCTCGCACCCCGCCTGCCTCCCCAGCCTGCTGGGGATGGTGTGCTCCGCCTGGGGTCCCGGGCTGGAGGTGCCGAGCTGTGACAGCCTCCCCAGCCGCACAGCACTCCCTCCACCCGGGGTGGCCTCTGCTCACTGATGCTCCCTCTTGGACCCACAGGGGCAGATCGAAGTGGACAGCGAGACCCTCTTCAAGTTAGCAGCCCTGGTTTTGCAGGTAAGAATGACGGCCGCCCGCTGCCAGCTGCGTGAACTGCCTGCAGCTCGGGAACTTTAGCACGGGGCCAGGGTCCAGTGGCTCTTTCATCCCGTTAGTCTTTTGCCAATGAAAACTGTGAGTTGGGGCCTCGTGCATTACCAGAGCTTGCATGAGCTGTGGTGCGGTTCTGTGCATCTCAGCGGAAAATAAAGAGGAAGCCGCTCTGCTGGAAGAGAGTTCTGAGCTGCTGGGACCTGGGCGGCAGCAGCTGTGGGAACAGCTGCCATCTCCATCTAAATTTGGTAACTTTGGCACATTTTCTTGTGGCCGTGTAAAAGAGCCCTTTAATTCTTAAAGGCACTTGCTGAAAAGCAAAGGCTTGTTTACGGCTGGCTTAAAAAGTTCAGAGAAAACAAAGAGCACCCGTGGATTTACCTGTGCGAGAGGCTTGCCGGTCTCACCCCTGGATGTGTGCCTTGGCCACGAGGAGACCTTAGGAAGGAGAAATAACTGTGGGCTTCCTCCTGCGTACTTGTCCCTTCTGCTCAGAACGAGGGGTCTCCTGGACACTGGCTGGTGCCCTTATCGGTGCCGCCTTCTTTCTGGGGCCATGAGGAAAGGGTCCCGTGTGTACCTTCTTCTACATGGAACTGGGGGGGGGGGGGCTTTATGGGAAAATGACCAAGAGCAAATCATCCCTGTAGCTTAAAATACACACTGATGGGGGCTGGGGTTGAGGCTCAGCGGGAGAGCGCTTGCCTAGCAGGCGCGAGACCCTGGGTTCCATCCTCAGCACCACAAAGGTATCGTGTCCAGCTAAAAAATAAATGTTAAAAAAAATACGCATTGATGGTCTCTGTTCTTTTTCCCCAGGAAGCCAAGGGAGACTACACCAGGTAAGGACCTCTGCTGCTGTTCCCTGTGAACCAGCCTCCGGGTACGCGTTATTTTAAATAACAATGGATGCCAAATCAAAAGCAGGCCTGAGGCCAGACAGGGCCCTCTGTCCCTCCTCCTTTCTTTTTGTGAATGAGTCTGACAGTGGAGGGTGGGTTTTAATGAGACGCTCTCCAGATCTCTGTTTCCTGTCAACCCTTAAGAGACGAAGAAGAAGTCCGTAAAAAGGCCCCGTAGCCTGTGCTGTGCTTTTCTTTTTTTTTTAATTTATAACGATCCTGTGTAACGAACGTACCGGAGTGCGTCAGCTGCGTGGTGAGGGGATTAATGGGGGCTTTCTTCTGCAGCTGCCCCGGGCCTCCTCCGCAGTCCGCTGACCTGACAGCTGTATTGTGCTCTGGTTGTAGCCGCCTAACCGGCCAGGCTTCCCAGGGTTTGTGTGGGAGTCCCCTCCCTACCTGCCCTGCTCTGTCGCTCCTCTTGCACTGTTGGAGGCCGGGTAGGAAGGGTTAAAGTGGAGGCAGGCCTCTGGGCCAGTGACCACTGAAAGCCTGGCCTCCCGGGGAGGTTAGTGTTCCACTCTGGTAAACTTTACCCAAGGATTATTTACAAATCACCTCCTACTCCTTCCCAGCTGAGCCTTGAACAATGTGCTCCTGAAGTCACTGAGCAGCACCCCACGCAGGCCCCTTCCCTGTCCACTCAGTAGTGGAGTCACGTTCCTCTAACACATTTTGTGTGTGTGTGTGTGTGTGTGTGTGTGTGTGTGTAACTTTTTTACTTTAAGACATGCTTTGAGCCGGGCACCGTGTCACATAATCCCAGCGACTCCAAGCAGGGGGATCCCAAGTCGCAGTGAGACCCTGCCTCAAAATAAAATCCTAAAAGGGCCAGGTGTGTAGCCCAGTGGTAAAGTGTCCCCAAGTTAAGTCCCTACTGTCACCAGAGAAAGGAAAAGGAAAAGAAAGAAATCCTTTCAAAATAACCGTGAAAATCAGGCACCAATTTTCTGTAAAAGGGAAACCCAGTGGTAAAGTCCCTGAAGATCTGCCAGAGGAAAAAGAGGAAGAAGGAGCAGTCCCAGGTGGCCTGCCTGTCCCCATCAGCCTCCTCCCTGGGGGCCGCTTTCCCAGGAGTGCGTGGCCAGCCCTCTAAGGACACTTTGGAAACTGGTGGGTCTGAAGGAGCCTTCAGAGGAGGCAGAGGAGGCAGAGGAGGCCGGGGACCCTCCCTGACTAATCTTAGAGGCCGGGGACCCTCCCTGACTGACCCAGATGACTAGGTTCCCACTTCCAACTGAGCCAGTTAATTGTGGCCAAGCCCAGTCCATCTCCAGCCGGTTCTGGTCATTTGCTGAGGCCCTGAGGCTGAAGGAGTCTCAGACTCTTCTGAAGCCGTCCGCAGAGCGTGGAGCTGGGTCTTAGCAAATGAGCACATCACCCTGTCGGAGCCATGTGTCCTTCCTGCGCCTCAGCCTCCCGTCTGCAAATTGGGGTTAATCCACCTGGTGACTTTAGCCAGGCGTGGTGGCACACTCCTGAAATCCCAGGGACTCTGGAGGCCGAGGCAGGAGGATTGTGAACTTGAGGCCAGCCCGGGCAACGTAGTGAGGCCCTGTCTCAAAATAAAAATTTAAAAAGACTGGGGATGCATCTCGGGGGGCGAGGGCCCTGGGTTTCATCCCCAGTGCTGGAAAACAAACCCAGATACCGACTTCTTCTTCGCGGGGTGTTTAGGGAGATGAGTGAGGTGGAAGAACTTTGTAAGTCACGGATTGTTTCACAAACATGAAACACGCCGCCAATCAGGGCGAGAGATGTGGTTCTGAAGTGTGACCGTTTGTCCTCAGTCTTGCAGTGGATCAGAACTTGGGCTCATTGCCGACACCTCCTGCCTCCCCCGACCCCCATCTCCTCCTGGATTGAAGGGAGAAGTTTTCCTCCCGATTTCTGTTATAAAAGTAATTTAAGAAAATGAGCCATTTTTTCCTTAAATCAGAGAATTGGGCAAAATAGAATACGGTTGGTCAATGTGACGTTGGTCAGAGCAGGGACTTGAGGGGCCAGCCAGTCACCCCTGGGGACTCCGGAACAAGCTACCTGCCCCTCCGGGCCTCCGCTTCCTGTCTGTGAGGGGCACTTACCCGCCCCCGCAGCCTTGCTCTCAGGACTGTCAAGAGCTTAGAACAGTCCCCACAGCGGTCCCCAGAGTGTCCCATGGGCTTAGTGGGCGGGATTTGCACTCACCGGAGTGTGACGGAGTGAGTTGCTGCCCACCTTTTGCTCATGCACAGGAGGCCGTGGGGAAGGGGTTTGTGTATTTGGGACCCTCGTCGCTCAGTGAGTTTTCTTACCTAAAGTCTCAGGTAGGAACCTGCAAACCCTTGAGGGAGGGGGAGGGCTGACCTGGAATGTGTGTGTCCTGACGTCCTAAGGTGGGGAGGGGTGGGCCGTGTGAGGTGCCTTCCTCCTGAGCTGGAGCTGGCTGCATCCAGCCCCCCACCACACCCCCGGGGCCATCCAGGTGTACCTCCTGTTGGCCTGCACGTTGAGAGCTGTGCTCTTGGTTCACAACTCCACTGTGTCATCTCGTGGAGGTGTGAACGCCACCAGAATATGTCCCCAAACGCCTTCATAGGCAGGGGCAAGGTGGTTTTTTTTGATTCAAACAATGTTAGAAGCCAGGTACCATGGTGGCCCATGCCTGTCACCTTAGTGACCTGGGAGGCTGAACCAGGAGGATCACAAGTTTGAGGCCGGCCGGCCTCAGCAACGTAGCAAGGACATCAGCCACCTAGCGAGGCCCTGTCTCTAGATAAGATAGAGAAAGGGCTGGGGAAGTGGCTCCGTGGTTAAGCGCCCCTGGGTTCAATCCCCAGTGACAAAAATAAATTAAAAGTGAACTAAGACGGTGAATAAACCCCTCGTTCCCGAGGCAGCGCTGGCCTGCTCCTTGTGAACGTTCCTCCTCCTCAGGTCTGGCGTTTCCCTGCCGTCTCCCCTGGACTATGTCCCCTGCTCTGAGTTCTAAGGGTCCCCCCGCCAGCCTGAGCTCACCCCTGTCCTCTGCCTCCCTCCGAGCCTGGCTCTCAGCCTGCCTTCTGTGGACCTGTGTGAACGTCTGTGTGTGCACCCGAGACCCTCCTTGCCCTGTGCCACTTTGTCCTCGTGTCCTTGCTCTGAGCATGTCTACTGTTTTACTGAGCCTTGAACCAGGGGTGCTCTTCCAGGAGCCAGGTCCCCGGCCCTTTGACTGGATTCTGAGACATTCTCACTAAGTCGGCCTCTACTTCGGACCCTCCTGCTTCGGCCTCCCGAGTCACCGGGATGGCAGGCCTGCACCACGCACCGGCCTAGCATGGCCTAGCTGCCCTTCGAGGCCACATCCCTCTGCTCCTGTTTTGCTCCCTGGGTGTTTCCTTCAGAGTATCTTAAGTGGACATCACCATAACTGGGAGCCGTGGCCTCTCTGAGTCAGTTAACAGAGCGGAGTGAGGACTCTTCCATCTTCTTTAAATAACTGAGGTCTGGGTCTCCCAGTCGGCCCGGGCCCTCCAGAGATAACACGCTGCTCCGCTGACAGGACGCAGGCAAACACAGAATTCCTCAACGCTGACGGGCAAGGAGGCCAGGCCTTATCGCCGAGCCGCAGCCGTGGAGAGTGGCCAAAGCCCGGGGTTCTGTCTGCCTCGTTAAGATCCTGGGCGTCCTCAATAACCGCTTCCGTGGGGTGCTCCTGTTTATGGGAGAAAGCGGTGGCCACGGGTGCGTTACCGTCGCCCTTCCAAGGGGAAGGGGACATCCCCAGCTTACAGCTGGGCCATAAAAAGGAGCAGGTCCCCTGGGACAGGGCCCTTGAGATGCTCTGAGTTGAGGAAAACCAGTCACAGCCTGCGAGGAGTCTGCCCCGAGTCCCTCCCCTCTGGAGCACTCACAGGTATAAAATGTCCTTATTCCCTTCTGGCTGCAGCTCCAGGGCCGAGGTGCTGGGCTCAGTCCTCACGGGAATGGGGAGGTGTTGGGGGTGGGAGCTCTGGGGTCAGACCCAGGCCCGTCTGCAGTGGATGACAGGGAGGGTTAGCTGTCCCCCCTCGGGCACAGTTACTGTGGTGACAGTTGTGGCCCTGGCAACAGCCCAGGAAGAGAGGTGCCACCACCTACCGCGTTTTGCAGGTGGGAAACGTGAGCTTTGGGGCCCTCAGAAGCCTGCCGTCCTGGCCACTGGCTGGAGAGTGGCCACCAGCCCTGCTGCCATGAGGAACCCCCGGTGGTAAAGGTCTGTCCCTCTAAGACCCCGGAAGTGACAGCCAGGGACAGGGACTGAGGCCACGCGAGCCTTGTTACTGCAGACTAGTGGCTGGCTGGTTTCTGGCTGCAGGCAGGTGGGGGCCTCTTTGCACCTCGGGCTCCTTATCTGCACCTTAGGAATAGTTAGAAGTAGCCCCTGGCTCTGTGGGTGCAGCTGAGGACCCTGTGAGTTCACCGAGTACAGGACAGGGCCATCACCCCACCTGACGGGTGTCTCCTAAGAAGCACAAAGGTTTTCGTTTATTTGTTTGTTTATCTTTAAATTTTCTGTGAGGATGGAGCTGAAGGTCTGGGTCTGGGGGGACAGGGGAACCCCAGCCTGGCTGGGTGCACACACCTGAGCCTGGTCCGGAGCTTCTGTTGTGGGCATGAAAGGGGAACCCTCCCCGACTTTGCAGGAAGTAGCCAGCCGTGGGGAGGGGGCCGCATCCCCGCCTGCTCACCCTGCCAGGAGAATGAGTGGATTTAAGGTGTGATCCAGAAATGTTTAGGTGGGGCGGGGAGGGTTCCAGGAAAGGGAAGACCCTGCGGCCAGGGGAGGTGTGGTCAGGGGTGGTGCGGCCCCAGGCTGCGCTGCGGCTCCTCCCCGCCGCTCCACTATCTCCCCTTCCCCCTCCTGCGGGGCCCGGAGACGTCTCCAGGTCTAACGTCTGTCGGATCCACCCGCAGCTCCCAGCCGGCTTCGGTGAGTC